TTTATTAGACGCATTTGACAGTAGGTGTATAGATGTGGGATGTTGAAAAAAATAGATAGCCAAGAGTATGTATATCCAAGATATATGAGCGTTATAAGTTGTTGTGATAGGAATATACTCTTCCAAGGAGGTGCTTAGCACTCAATCAAGCCAATAGAGATAGAGACACTGTCGCCTTCACAAATCATGAAGAAACCGACGTAAGGTACTCCGTAGAGAGATGATTCAACTTCAGACGCCAAGGCAGCTTCAGGAGATGCGGGACAGTTCCTGAATAGGACTAGCGCAGTTCCTTATCGATAAGAAAGATGGAACCCTAAACCCTGAGACCATCAGTTTTGCAGATAAACAAGTGATGTCATTCATAGACTTCATAGTATGTCGTATGTCGATGATAGTAAGGTACATCACCTCAGGAGTGTCTCGAGATCATCAGAACGGCTTGCTTCCGGGCCAAAATAGAGGGTTCAGGAGAACCAAGGCCGGTTTCTCCAACAATCTTAGTCTTCCCTGATATTGAGCCGAGCCAACTCAATGCCGTTTATCCTTTCCTGGAAACCGGCAATTGCCCCACGTTAGTTGCACTCCACCGCAAGACCCATCAGGAAGCTCGTAATGGCATTTGACTTTCGGGGAGGGAAACGGGAGCGACTATCGGTCTCCAAGGTCTCCAAATCGTCATGGACTCCAATGGATGACTGGCGGTATAAATACGCCTCCAAGTCCGTGCAGCTGTGTGTGTTTTTCTCAGCCATCCGCTGTATTTGTCGACCGATTGTCCCTTTTGTTATCATACCACTCCGTAGTAACTGCAACAATGGCCCCCCAATCTCTTCAGTCGACCTACAAAATGGTCTCGGGATATGAAATCCCGGTTGTTGGGTTCGGTGTGAGTAACAAACCCCCAGTGACATAGTTTCGACTATGAAAATCAGCTGCTGACGCAAGGATCGTAAGGTCTATCAAACGTGTGTTGAAATTTTATAGCAAGTCATCATTCAGGATTGAACTCCATGTCTAACCTGTAAATGGCAATGCAGGCCACCCGAGATCACCGAGAAGGTCACTCTCAAGGCACTGGAAACTGGATACCGCCATGTAGGTGCCATGAGAACTATTGGAGCACCAGGCAATTGAGGCTAACCGGGCCTGCTCCACTAGATTGACAGCGCGAAATACTATGCGAATGAGAAAGAATGTGCGGTGGCTATGAAAAAGTCTGGAATTGACCGTTCCAAGATCTTTTTCACCACCAAGGTTCCCGCGTCTTCCATGTCCTATGAAAAGGCCAAGGAAGCCATTGAGCAAAGTGTCGCTGCTGCCGATCTTGGTTACATTGATCTGTAAGGCGGATAACCCCGGTCTTCGACGATCAAGCGACGCCCCTGGCTAACCTAGGGGCAGAATTCTGCTGCACGCGCCCTACGGTGGGAAGGAGGGCCGCCTTGGTGCCTGGCGCGCCCTCGTGGAGGCTCAGAAGGCAGGCCACGTTCGTTCCATTGGTGTCTCCAACTATGGCATTCACCATCTGGAGGAGTTGGAGGAGTACATTAACAGCGGTGTTGGAGGCCAGATTTCTGTTGGCCAGTACGAGATTCACCCCTGGTGTGCGCGAGAGGACATTGTTGCCTGGCTGAAGAAGCGCAACGTTGTCGTTGAAGCCTATTCTCCTCTTGTTCAAGCTCAGCGCATGGACGAGCCTGTATTACAGAACTTGGCCAAGAAGCACAACAAGACAGGAGCTCAAATACTGATCCGGTGGAGTCTGCAAAAGGTACCTCCTTTGTCTCTATTATCGATTGAGTCCGTGGCTAATGCAGTCTTGCAGGGGTATGTTCCTCTTCCGAAGTCCGTGACCGATTCTCGTATCGTTGAGAATACGCAGGTGTTTGACTTTGAATTGTCTGGCGAGGACATGGAGAGTCTGAACACCGGCATTTATGCTCCTGTTTGCTGGGATCCTGCTAAGGATGTTCCACTGTAGAGCGATTCCTTGAATTCATTGAAAATAGCAAAAGACGATGGCAGCAGGCGAAAAATATATACACGTCTGTTTCGCTCATATATAGAAGTAGCAACACATTGACTTAGGTAAATGCAGGATTTCGATAGGCAACACTGATCAAATTACAAAGAAGTTGTATCTCTAGATAAAACGAGCCTTTGTGACTTAAGTGGTGGTGACTGCCGTGGGAAACTCCTGTTGATCTTCTGGCCGGGACAACATATCGCCGCCAGGCAAGGATGTCAACAATAGCTCTTCTCTCCGCGTTGTCTGTACAATCTTTTGCAATCAACAATAACAGAGAGAAGCCTACCAGTTACGATCTTCAAATGTACCGCTACATCTTGATCAGGAAAACTTATACCTGAACCTACCTGTCGTCCCTCTACTATGCCCGATCAGCCGCGGCGCATTATTCTGGAAAAATCCAAGACAGTGCGCCGCCGGTATCAACGCAGCAACAAACGATTCCAATTTACAGCTTCACAGATCGAGCGCATCGAACGCGAAGAGGAACGCGAAGCACGAGCCAAAAGGCTTAGAGAAAAGGAGAAGAAACGCCAAGCCAATAAGAAGAAAAAGGCCGAAAAGGAAGCCAAAGCACGCGAAGCACGAAGACGCCTTGGTCTCCCTGATCCTCATGCTCTCCCCATGCCCTCCAGTCAGCCATTGCTTTCCAAATTTCTCAAGAAGCCTGCAGCGAAACCGGATACAGAGAGCGAGACTTGTGAGGATACGGAGCCGGACAGCCACAGCCAGGGGAGCATCGCGACCGAGATTGACGAGAGCCTGCTCTCGGATTTAGATGTCGCTGCCTTCGACGGTCAGACGGCTGCCGGGGTGTCAGAGCCAGATAATCACCCAGCAAGCAATGATGAGAAGGGTCACGTTGGCCGGACACAGGGTGATGATGACGAGTTCTCCGAATGCTCGATTTTCTACGACGAAGACATCATCAAAGAAGTGGAAACAATTGCTACTGCACAAAATACGACAGGCAGGCTGGGGGAAATAGATCAGGCGACGAAAGAGCCATGCAAACCTGCGTTAACAATAGGAGAATCATTCCAAGACGAAACGGCGATACTCCTTGAAGAGTTTGGCCACGAATTTGCCAGCGATGAGGAATTCGAACAGGAATTGATTAGTCTCGACACTGTATCCGTTGGAAAACCATCTTGAGTTGACTATACGAATATTGGATATTCAATATGCGATTGGGAACATTGTCTAATTTGGTGCATTCAATGTACAAACCCGTCGCACAAGTTCATTCTTGAGGGGTCAGCATTAATGCATTGGGAACTATCCTTGACAATCGCTGGCAATGATCCCGCAACCTCGCATGAGTCGCGCAGCTCAACACCGAGGACAGCCGTCTGATCTGACCCGACGGACGGTCTGACGGCCAGACCCGCACTGATCGGATCGTGATGCCCCTCTTGTCGGGTAGGGCGGTGATAAGCTGGGGCGGCTCCTCAACCCCGCCAGGGTAGCAGGCATTCCGACGGAATCAATTATTCTGAACGAGAAGTATGAAGGCAAGTTTTGCACGAACAGAGATTATGTGGTAACAATGGGAATGGCCACTTGGAGAGCCGCCTCGTTGTGCTGAAGACTATATCGGAGCGCATTATCGATAAGATAGGAGAACCAAGCCGAAGAAGTATCAAGATAACAGTGGGTTGACGTCAATGCGGAATAAAACATAGCGTATCGGCTCGTTTTGTTTGTGATTCATTGCTATCTATATCTTCGCATTCAGCACATGCAACTGCATTACAATCCCCTTCTCGTCTTTCCTCACGTTTTGTACTGGAACCGTTTACTTCCAGTCTCAACGTATCGGAAAGATGCCGTGCCTCGAAGTATGTGGGCACTCAATCCACTATGCTGATTCCCATCCCAACGGAGCTCCCAAAGACGGTGCGACCATAGTCTTCATACACGGCCTTGGCTCCTCCCAAAATTACTACTTTCCTATTCTCCACCATCTGACTCCTAAGCATCGCTGCATCACCCTCGACACCTATGGTTCTGCCCGCTCCCCGTACACCGGTCAGGCCATCACCATTTCTACCATTGCCTCGGATGTCATTGCGGTGCTGGATGCTCTACACATCCCCAAGGCCGTCGTAGTCGGCCACTCGATGGGCGGACTCGTCGTGACGCTGTTGGGTGCACAGTGCAGCGATCGCATCACGGCTGTAGTAGCTGTGGGTCCCACCCATCCCTCGGAGACTCTAGCATCCACGATGCGCCAGAGGAGCGACACTGTGCTCGAGGGTAGGTTGCTTCCATAGATTCAAACTCATCGTCGAAATGCATCGTGTGAGCTAACCCAAAATAGCCGGAATGGAAGCAATGGCCAACACCGTCCCCAACGCCGCTACAGGCTCGCAAGCCTCCCCGCTCGCCAAAGCGTTCATTCGCGAGCTCCTTTTAGGCCAGAACCCGAAGGGCTACGCCACGCTATGCCAGGCTATTTCCAAGGCCCCCGCGATCGACTACTCGTGCATCACAGTGCCGTTTCTGCTCATTGCCGGCGAAGAGGATAAGTCTGCGTCGTTGGAAGGATGCAAATATATCTTTGACCAGGTCTCGAGTGAGACGAAGAAGATGGAGGTATTGCCCAAAGTCGGCCATTGGCACTGCATCGAGGCACCGGATCTGGTGGGTGGGATGATCGCGGGATTTATTGAGAGAGTGTGATGTGCTGTGAAGTTATAGTATCTTGGCAGAGGCAGAGATTGAACGAATTGTTCTTAGACAAATATTTAGCGCTTCGTCGCTCTTAATATTCCAGCTGTGTCATTTCATCTGTCAATCATCAAGCCAGAAGGCAATTTCGGCAAGTCCAGATCACGACAACATAGGCTCAAAGCTGACTCCAGGGAAAAGAGAATCCATCATCGCATTACGGTATCACGGAAGAACACACAAATATATATACACAAATCCCAGCTATTGTCAGACTCCAGTCTATTCCACTGGCCTACGCCTGGGTCGCCACCAGCTTGACATCGTATTCAAGCTCAAGTCCAGCTTGAGGGTCATCCTTGCGCGGCACAAAGTCCACGATCAGCGAGTCCTTGACGGCAAATACTGAGTCGTTGGTTAGGTACTTGTCCTGGCGGTCGAAGATCTGCGTGGTGAGGGGCTTGTAGCCTTCGTGCGTAGCCTGCAGTGCAGTTAGCCCAAGCTGCCTCTTTACTCGAAAGAAGCGAATACTCACGATGATGTGGATATGGGCAGGGCGGAAGGGGTGTCGGTCCATGAGCTCGAGTAACTTCCCGGCTGGACCTGTACATCATTCAAGATTAGCGTTTGCAAAGCCTCCACAGCGATAGCGATGGAGCATCAGAATACGCACCGTCATTCGGAACAGGATACGGCGTCGGACGCAGGCAGTAAAAGTAGTACCGCCCGTCAGCATCCGTCGTGAACTTCCCACGCAGGTTAAACTCCTCCTGGTTGGGATCCTGCTGCTCATACAGCCCGTTCGTGGACGCCTGCCACACCTCCACCGTCGCGCCAACGAGCGGCTTCTTGGTCTGGAAATCGATCACCCGGCCGTGCATGAACACCATCTCACCGTCCGGCACGTCCTTGACGATATTGTCGCCGTTGTTGCGGTAGGGGGTGTCAGCGCGGAAGAAGGGGCCTAGGATGGCGGTTGCGGTGGGTGCGTCGGCGGCCTCTTCAGCGAGCTTGAAGGTGATTTCGTCGACGAGCCTTTACACGCACAGCAAGCGATGCGGTTAGTACTTGACGTCTGGGACTGTGAAATAGGGGTATGTAACACGTACGACTCGAGCCCGATCACGTCGCAGACGAGCTGGCCTTCGTTGCGCTTGTCATCGCTCATCTGGCCGGCCCAGTTAAGCAGCTTGACGCCGGCCATCCACTCGTCGACGGTGAGTTCGTTCTCGCGCGCAAAGTCATGCACATGGCGGATTAGGCTGGCCATGACCTTCCGGAAGCGCGGGTTGGTCTTGGGACCCATCGCGTTGATGACATTGTCGGTGAAGTTGGGGTCAAATCGATGAGTAGCCATGACTGTATGTGCCTCAAGGATCGTATTCGGTAGAGAGGTCGGGTATATACTGTATCGGAGTTGGAAGAGAGGAAGTGAATGAGGATCAATAACAGTTGACGAAAGAAACAGTCGCAAGGACCATCATCCAGCTTATATTCCAACAAAATCTTAATCAACAGAGTATGATTGGAAATACTCGCTTTCCGGACGGCAATATGTGCCCCAGATCCCAAAAAGACCCCGCAATTGATCAGAGACCGTCAACTGCTGTTGAACGCCGGCTCACCAACATGATGGTTGATTGGGCAGTTCAATGATTGGCCATTTAGAAGTGACAGACATTGCAATCGGAAGCAGGCCAAGCAATCAATCTAATTGCACTCTGTTCCGTCCTGTCATTTGCAATGCAAAACCGTATGACACTTTTTCGGATAGGGAGTAGAGGACTATGACGCTGATCCGATTTCTCCGCAATCCGTCGGATGTCGGATAGTCGGCGCATATGTACCACACTAAGGTCCCAGCATTGTCCCCGCACCGTCAGGTGATTTTGCTTATCATTACGGAGTAATGTTAGTGCTGCGTACAGCTTCAGAGCTAGATGTAAATTTAAGCATATGCGCTCAGATAAAGATCAGTAAGACTTGTTCATCACAGGATCCTAGAGATCATCCATTTCTTTTACTCCCTCTCCTCCCATCCAATCCTGCTTGTGGACCCTTGGGATTGCCTTTCTGAAGCAATTCCGACGGCAATTCCTTGATCGTTTGCCCACGTTCCCAAATCTTCCCCAGCCCACATTTTCGTTCCACAACAACGTCAAAGAATTCAAGGGGAATGATCTTCTGCGATGTGCCATCTCCAACCTCCTGATTCTCCCCTACATCCACGCCCTCACTGAGGATGACCCCATTCTCACTGCGCCAGAACGGACACCCCGCAGCCATCGCCTTCTTGATGTCAATGTAGATCAGAATCTGCGCATCTCGCCTCATCCCAGAGATTACCCTCCCATCGTTCAGGCCCGAGGACCCCATGGCCGAGTGCGCCGTCCCGTCTACATGCGCAGGTAGCACGGATTCCAGGGAAGGCCCCGTTGCAAAATGGACCTGGTTCCGCCCCATGCACCGCAGCCCGCCGGACTGGAGAATGGCCGGCCAAACGGCATGGTATGTCCCGTGCACAACAGTGTCCGGTAACCTCGACTCATCTTCCAATGTCAGTCTCTCCAGGAACGCGGCCGCGTCCACGCTCTTAATGCTGTGTCCCTGCGTCGCTCGAATCAGGAAATGAGACGGATCTGTATCGTTCACGGCGAGTGCCGTCGCCGTAGCGTTCTCTTGCCCCGCGCTGGTGGTCGGGACTTGTGATGTAGGCATCGAGCTCGGTTCTGTTTCGCAGACGGGGGTTTCCCCCTCGCGTGCCCCAGTCGTTGTTTTGTCGCCTAAAGCCTTCGCCGACGGGATGTGTAACAGCGCAAACCGCTTTTTGTCGGACGAAGCAACCGCGTGGATGATTTCAGGAAGCGTAACCTTAAGTGACTTGAGCTTTTTCCATGCTAGCTATGCGAGCCCTATGTATCAGTCATATACCCCACTGAATGGTTCCGTCTGTCGTGCATACCACGTCCGCCACGTTGGCATACCCTTGAGAATCCATTTTCAGGCCTTCCTTTTCTGCCGCATGGCGCAATAGCAGACTTAACGCTTTGGAAATTGTCACTTCACGGCTCTGGTTGCCTCCTCTGCCCCTGCGTTGATTTTGCGACATTGTGACGGACTCGGCAAGCGGAGAGGAGGGGTATCTCGTCAATGAACGGAGGTTCTGGGTTCGGCGTAGAGGAAGGGCTATGAAACGGATTTTTCGGTTAATCGTGCTGGCTTTTCTATTGTATAGAAGCTCGCAGCGTCAGTAACTGACTCGATAGACGACTCATCCGGAGGCTGAGCTCACGCGATGACTCGATGTGACTGCAGGGTGACTGGGCAAGTACCATGAGATTAGGGAAAGCTATGAAAACCGAGTCCACAAGAGCGCCTCAGGCTGTAGAAGAACATCTGCCATCAGCATCAGCAAGGACAGGGATTTGGTTTGATTTGGACATACAATAATGACAGTTCGACGATATCAGCTGTGCAATAAACGGAGAAATTTCGTTTACATCATCGGCGGGCAATAACTAATATCCCCCCACCCACCGGACTAGGAAAAAAGGGCGGTAGAAGAACCGTAGACTTGGCCAGTCATTGATTCTAGGCTTATGATAAAAATACTTGAGGAAAGAGTACATATAGTGGTCAATGTAATGTCAAATAGCGAAAATGCCTAATAAATAACCTCATGCCTCCATAAATGGGTATCGAAAGTAACAGAAAACTATCCCACCATCCCTCATGAACTTCTAAAACCATACTCGTTGCAAGCCAAATATACGAAACGAATTTCCTAGGGTATAGGTATAGGTCATGGTCATCGATCGCAAATGCAGCTGCATTCTGCGACGGGGCAAACGTTATGCTTTGCAAACCATTCTCTGGCGTGATGTGCATGAAAACCATGATTGCAATTGATACAGAAGACGATGAATCGGCGCATGATGTCGGCCTCTGTGGGTTTGCGCTGCTCCTGACCAGCATCGGCGGCGATACACGCCCTGGACATTGGATCTGGGGAGCCCATCCAGAGCGTGCAAACTCCACAGCGGGGCATCGGCCGTCCACACCTGGCGCACACCATTCCTGACATAACAGCTGTACCCAAGGGATTGCCAGCGGTTTGATGCAGCACTTCCCCTGTAGCCGAAGGAGAAAATTGGGAGGTTGCATCATGTTGGGTGAGAGGTCGAGTGCAGTAGTTACAAGTCAAGCTGACTTGTTGTTGGGGCGGCTCGATGAGTTTGCGCCCGTCCCAGGTGACGGCAAACTTGCGCGAGCCGACATCGAATCGCGCTCTCTCTAATTGGAGTTTCCATGAGTTCATCTGCCAGCGATAGGTTTCACGCCATGCTTCATACCGAGCCCTGCCCCAACCAGTCCTGATGAAGCGTGGGACTGTGTGGCTCATAGCTAGAACCGGCGTCTGAACATCATTGAATTTGTTGATGTAAGATTGGAAAAGGTCCAAGGCAGAGTGGCCAAGCCCCGTGAGAACTATACCTTCAATGTCGCCTTGCCGGATGACTTCAGCAATTGTTTCCTTCAAGTAGCCTGAGAGCTCCGCGTCAGGAAGCCAACGTAGAGCTACCTCGATCCGGTATCTCAAGGGAAGGGTAGACTCGTAGATAACAGACTTCCAATCTCCTTTACTTACGAGCGCCAATATAGCTCGTGCGTAGGGGTCTGTGAGTTCCTTGGCGATCTCCGCGCACGTCTCTTCCCAATCTGAGTCGGTATCGCCTTTGGCCGCACCTGCGATAGCCATGGCAAGGAGCTTATGCGCTTGGGTGGGTGTGTGACTGCGCAACGCCTGATGCGCCAGTTTAGCCTCGTCCTGGAAGACGGCCAATGCAGCTGCTTTAGTATGTTGATTGTCTACAGAAAGCCTTCTGACAAGTTCCTCCAATTCGCGATGAGATTGTGCCGCACCACAGAGACGCAAACAAAGTCGTCGATGTTCCGGACGAGCTGTCTGACACCCTTTTGATTCAGGCAATCTTAATTGCTCCCGCACAATTTCGATAATACTTTCGCTGGTCGATGGAGACTCGTCGCCGCTTGGACCGATGTGCCGGCTGTCGTAACTTTGACCTGCAAGAGATGAGCAGACCGCATAATCAGCAAAGATGGAAATACCTACCTAGGTCATTGTTCCAGATATCGTACACCCCCAGGTAATTGAAATCCAAGCCATTTATGATCATTGACTCATCAGACGAGTCTGAACGTGCGCCTGTATCGCCTGTCAGAGAATCTAAACCAATGTTATCGTAAACATTACTCACGTTCGACCCAATCCCAGAGGCACTGAAGTTGAGGGTCATCGGCTAGAATTCGCTTGTTGCGCGTTTCGTCGAATAAGTAGCCTTCCTTGCACCGTAGCCTGTTTACGGTTAATAACGCCAAGGCTTCCTCTGCAGTGAGAGGTTGACCCAGAGTTCCCAGTGATAAATTCCTTTCTCGAGATTCACGACTGGAGAGAGGATCTCGAACGCGGGACTCCGATCGTGCAGCACGGCCTCCTTGCGACACATTCCTCTCTTCTAGAGCTGCGAGATTCGCCTCGCGAATGCTCTCGATTACTTCTGAGACCTTTGTCTGATCCCCGAATGCGGGCCGTAACTCAGTAAAATCGAGATGATTCTCAGAGCTACCGCGAATCAGAACACCCTGAGAGGATAGCCGCACAGGTGGGCACGGAAGCTGTACCGTCACCAGGCTGACCTTGCCATTTCCAGCTAACGTTATGGCAGTGGGCTCGCTGGAAGTACTCAGGTTCAGAAAGTCGAACGCCACGACTCTATCTGACTCCTTACAGCCTCGGGTCGGATGATTGAATGGGCTGAGGACATCGCGGATCGATTTCGTATAGATCTGTTCTGGATAGCTATGGAAGGACCCCTGCCCGAGGGTCTCCTCCATGGACATTCGGTACTCTTCCGACAAGTATTCTTTGACGATGTCAAAAGTTTTGAAGCCGCCAGTGTTCGAGAGCGCACCCAGACAGCCTCTTTTGGTCTTCGAGAATCGCAGACTCCAGAGAGATGTTTTGGACCCGAAGACATTCTTGAATTCAAGCGCTGGGCCCGGATGTCCAGACTCCAGCATATTCGCACCCCCGGTGACATTAAACCGGGAGCTGGCCCGTCGGTCCCAGAGGCAGATGGTAGGGTCGTTCGTTGGATAACAGGATGCGATATAGTTCTCATCAAGTGAGTCGATCGCAAGGTTATGTACGCATCGCGTGGGAAATTGTAGAGATGGATTGCCAGGACCTTCTGTAGGGAATTAGTCGCGCACTCCAGCCAAAAGAAGGAAGGCAACGGTGTACAGCGCCTCTGCAAAGAGTGACAAGTCTTACCT